TGGATTGATTCAGTGACTGGGGTAATCGGGATGGGTGTATCAGAGGCAGTGCCATTGGCACAGGATAGAGCAGGCTTTAGGGCTGTTGTACATAGGGTCGCTATGAGTTGCAAACGACTCAATGGCACATAACAACAACAACAACCACAACCACCAAAAAGTTCAATAAACATACTTTCCACCATAATAAAGAAAATATTTTATTACTATTTAAATATTTATTTGTATCAAAAAATATTGTATATTTGGAAGGAACAAAATGATCATTTAACCTTTATTTTTAAAATATATAAAGTAAATCATAAAATGGGTTATCTTGCCCCTTTCCTTCATATGATGAGCTGGATCAAACTTATCCTTTCTCCTGCCCAGTGTTTAGTTGCCAATAGTGTCTTATCATTAGCACCAGTGGAGACATTTCCCGTCCATGACTAGCAGTACTGAGAGCACGAGCAGTACATCGTAGTTTTGAATGTCTCTTGGTCTACTGACTGCTGATATCAAGGATTTTGATTGTGGATCTGAGTAAGGTAAAGTTGCTGACAATTTCAATCTTTTCTCCATCTAACATAATGCTACCTAACACTCCAGTGATGAGCCTTTTTATTCTCTCAATGTTGATACATAATCCATATTGAATGCTATAGACTTTAATCTTCTGAAGCAAGCATTTCAAATTCTCACTTTCAGCAAACAAGGTTGTGTCATCTGCATAACAAAGGTTGTTGATGAGTCTTCCTCTGAACCTGATGCCACACTCTTCTTCATAAAGTCCAGTTCCCTGAATAATTTACTCAGCATAGGGATTGAATTCATATGAAAAAGAGGATGCAACCCTGAGGCACACTTTTCATAATTTAAAACCATGTCGTGCTCTCTTGCTCTGTTCATAATATAGCCTCTTGTTCTAGGTATAGGTTTCCTATCAACACAATTAAGTGTTCAGGAATTCCCATTCTCCTCAATGTTAGCCATATTTTCTATGGTCCACAGAGTCAAATGCCTATGCATAATCAATAAAGCACGAATAGATATTCTACTGGTATTTTCTTCCATCTGATATCAGCAATGATATCCGTGGTGCCACAGCTTCTTCTAGGCTCAGCGTTAACTTCTGGCAGCTTTCTTTCATATACTATTCTTGCCCTTTTTGCATGATCTTGAGTAGTATTTTGCTTGCCTGTGATATTAATGATATTTTGCGATAATTTCTACATTCTGTTGGATCATCTTTCCTGGAAATGGGAACAAATAGGAATCTTTTCCAGTCAGTCAGCCAGGCCCTTCCTCCAGAAGTCCTGTCATAAATTGATGAGCACGTCCAGGACTACATATGTTGGTTGAAACATGATAATTTGTATTCCATCAGTTCTTGGGATCTTATATTTTGGCAATGGCTTCAGTGCAACTTGAAGTTCTTCTTTCATTACCATTAGCTCTGATCATATGGTACGTTCTAAAATATTTCAGTGTCGACCAATTTATTTTTGTATGGTGACTCTGTATCTCTCCAACTTCTTTTAATACTTCCTGGATCATTCAATATTTTGCTCAGAGCACATTTCATTATTGCAACTCATGGCTTGAATAACTTGATTACTAACTTGCGATTCCTACCACAGCTGCTAGGACATGACTTCCACCTCCAGCCTCTTGCTACCGGGGCTCTTTAATACTTTGAGGGTGTGCTGTAAAGGTCAAAATTCAGGGTAACCTCAGACTTACCCGCTGTCCTATATACAAACCACTGGTTTTAAGATGACTTCAGGGATATTTTTAGTTTTAAGATTTTAGGGCATCAGTTCCAGGGGTTTACCCACCCTCCATGACTCCAGAAAGTCTGGCCTTCAAGAGAATTTATCTTTTTTTTTTTTTTTAGAGTTTGTTTTTCACCTTCATTTTCTGAGGTGTTTTTTTTTTTTTAATTTTATTTTTTTTTTCTGTGTGTACCGTCAAATCGGATCTGACTGGTACAGGAGGAGATGGCCCCTCCTTCTCCGGCAGAGTATCTGATGGATTAGAACCTCATATCTCTGGGATTGCAGTGCAGCTTCTTGCCACTAGGCCACCAGAGCTCTCCAGAATTTATCATTTTGTCTGCATTTTTGAGCAGAATCCTCTGCTCAGGATTCTTCTATAACATATTTGGGCAAAGTGTGCAGTAATTGTAGTCACACATCATCCAGTGTTCCTGGTCTTGTGGAAAAGAAGGTAGTTACTCATGAAGACAATTAATGGCATATTCCATATCTTCCTCCTATTCCTGACTCTCCTCCTCCTTTCACTGTTCCAGGTAAATAGAGACCAATTGTGTGCCTTGAAAGGGCTCTAAGCACTACTCATTTAACTAGGAGGGCGAACCCAGGCATACTAAGCAAGCATGCTTGTTAGTAGGCCAATTAACTGAGATGTCCAATGAAATCATGACCCTAAACCTTCAAACCAGGAAATCAAATCTTAACAGGTGTTTTGATGCCTTAACAGCTGTTCTTTTTTGGTCATTGTTGTAAATATCTATCATACAACTTTTGCCAATTTAACTTTCTATGTTGTTGTTGTTATGTGCTGTTGAGTCACTTGCAACTCATAGTGACCCTATGTACAACAGCCCTAAGCCCTGCTTTTTGCCTTGCCAATCTCACTGTCTCCGATACGCTTATCCCCATTACTCCAGTGATGGAATCAATCCATCTCATTGTGGGTCTTCCTTTTCTGTGCCGTCCCTCCACTGTCCCAAGCATGACAGCCCTCTCCAAGGACTGGTTGCTCCTTGCAACATGTCCAAAGTAGGTCAGACGAAGCTACAGATTCCTTGTCTCCAAGGAACAGCCTGCTCTCACCCTCTCTAGGATGAACCTATTTGTTCTCTTAGCAGTCCATGGTATATTCTATACACCAACACCACAGCTCAAAGGCACGAATTCTCCTTCTATCTATCATCCATAGTCATTGTCCAGCTCTCTGATGCATAGCAAGTAATTGCAAAGACTATGACGTGGATCAGGCACACCTTAGTCTCCAGAATGACATTGTTGCTCTTCAGTACTTTGGAGAGGTCTGACTCTCCCAGTGCAATTCATCTTTTAATTTTCTGGCTGCTGGTACCAAGAGTGTTGATTGTGGAGCCAAGCTGTAAACAATCTCAACCTCTTCACTGCCTATCATGATGCTGCCAATTGATCCAGTGGTGAGAATCTTTGCTAAAGCATGGGAAAGGAACACATTTTAAGGTTCATCGCCAAGATGCTTCCTTCTTGACTCTTGAGATAAAGAATATATTCCCCCTCCTCCTTTCCTTCAAAGATGTATATATCTGGTGTTCAGTTGCTCACACTACAGCATAGCTTCTCCAAGTTAATGACTTTCACCTCTCTTCACCCTTTAGTATCCTGATCATAGATGAAAGGATTCAAGAGGCCACAGCAAAGTGCTTTATAGATTGAACCACCAGCTTCTCAGTTATCAGCCTGACACATTCTACCCTATGCCACCAGGGCTCTGCTCGTATGGAGTAAACACTACTTAGGGCACTTTCTGGCCTAGTGGGTTGTGTTGCCAACCACCGGCAGGCAGTTTTGTCCATTGGTTTGCTCCATGAGAGAAGAATTGGCAACCTGTGTGATTTACAGCCTCTTAAATCCCACTGGGCCCATAGAGCAGGGTCCAGAACTCTTACACATGGAGTCGCTTATGAGTTGTGGGCGACTCAATGGAGCATAACAACAACAACAAATCCCACTGGAGGGTCATCTGTGAATCAGCTCTGACTCAGTGGCAGCAAGTAATATGAGTAATAGGGGACAGGACATGGGCATCAGTGCATTGTAAAGGTCTCAGGTGACTCTAATGTGCCAATTTCACATGATTATTGGATATAACTTTGAGATTGTGGCTTAATGCTAAATATCATGCTTTCACCCCTGTGTGTGATAGCTTCCTTCAGATTGCTTCCTGATTTGTTTCTTTACTAATTTCTTTCTTACTAATTATTCCTCTATTTACTCATTTATTCCTCCTTTTTCTTCTTCCAAAGTCAGAGAGAGCATGGTTGCCTGTCCACATCCGAGCCGGCATTCCGAATCAGCTTCCAAGGGCCGCTTTCATGGCCATGTTCATCCTGGAAGTGGATCAGTTTATCCTGACCTCTCTCACCACATCGGTTCTGGACTGTGAAGATGACGAGACCCCCAAACCTTTGCTGGTGTTCAACATCACCAAGCCCCCGGACCAGGGCTACATGACTCACCTGTTGGACCACACCAGACCCATCTCCTCTTTCACCTGGAAAGACCTAAATGATCTGCAGATTGCCTACCAGCCCCCTAACAGCAGCCACTCTGAGAGGAGAAATTATGAGGTAAGAGAGTCAGTTATTCACACAAATATTTAAAAGACCCTTAGGTAACCTTTGGGCTAATTTGCACATTCATTGTCTCAGAAGGGAATCAATCATTGTAAATCAGAATGCAAACTCAAATGTCCCAAGGAGCGAGGCAGATACTGCAAGTGAACAGACCTGGAATGGAGGGTTTCTAGGTGAACTGGTCTTCACAATTACTTGCTATGCATTTTAGAGCTGGACAATGACTAAGGATGACAGAAGAAGAACCAATGCCTTTGTGTTGCGGTGCTAGAGAAGAATATCAAACATACCATGGACTGCCAAGAGAACAATCAGGTCTATCCTAGAGAGGGTGAAACCAGGTTGCTCCTTGGAGGCAAGGATTTTGAAATGTCATCTCACATGCTTTGGGCATGTTGTCAGGAGGAATCAATCTGTAGAGAAGGGCATCATCTTAGAAAGGTGGAGGATCAGTGCAGAGGAGGAAGACCCTGGATGCCACAGTGACTGTGGCAATGGGTGCAGGTGTGTCAGAGACAGTGAAATTAGGCCAAGTTAGGGCAGAGGTCCATGGTGTTGTTCATATGGTCACGATGAATTGTAGTAGACTTCTTGCACATAGCAGCAATACCACCACCACCACAGGGACTGGAGAAAGAGCCAGTGCTTCAGGAAGCAACTGCAGCTCAGCCAGGTCTTAACTGCTTCGAGGTGAGACTTCCAGGTGCCCAGGTGGACAGGGCTCCCGTTTTGAAAGTTGGCAATTTAGATTTTCATGTTCTATTTGCATGACATCTAAAATCTGCAAGTGTGTGGAGAATAAGGTTTATTAGTATTTACCAGGGGTAGATGAGAAGGAGGAGAAAAAAGAAGCCTATTACTTCAGGGTGAAGGAGAAACTTAGAAATGGCTAATGGTGATGGGTCAACAGCATGATAAACATAATATATGTCACTGAATTGTACGTGTGAAGAAGTTAGAGTAGCAAAAGTTTTGTTGCATATATACTTAACACAATAAAAATATTAAAAATTTAATATATTGAACACATGAAATATAAAAAATAGTAAAAAAATTAGTAAATATTAAACAATAATATGCTGTCTACAAATTCTTCTGGGGACAGTGTTTGACTCAGGGCTTCCTAGGTTGAGAACTCTGACTCAATCCTGCATCACAAGACCATTGAAGTTAGAGATGAATTTTGTTTACAATTATTTTATTACCAGCTTCTGGTAAACTCCTCTTAATTAATTGTGGCCTTTAGTTTTCACTAATAATGCTGGGTACAGATAGGAGATTCCACAGTCTCCTCTGATAAGCGATTTCCCCATCAACCATTTCCCCCCAAGTCCTCTTTCTATCTACTCTCAACCCCTCCTGTTGTTATTTTAGCCCAAGTCCTCTAGTGCTGAACTTAATGAGAATGGAGAACAGCTGGTTGGTCTTCAACATAACAACCCTTCACATACTTGAAGACCTACATTGATTGAAACCTGATGAGAAATTTAAATGAGAAGGTTGTTGCAGACTGGAGTTCAGGTTTATTATGGAAAATGAGTGTCCCCCGGATTACCAAATTGGCCTCTGGGTAATTTAGGAATTTTAGTCATTAGTCCCCAGGGCAGGCAGGGGTTTCCAGACCCAGAAGGCTGTGCTTTGTCTCTGCTCTGCTTCCTGCAGGCCACTCTAAGAAGAGGTAGCCACTCTTGCTTTCTTTCCTTGCCTCTCGTGCCTCCACAGCTGTGACAGAATTTCTCATTAAGCCTCCAAATTTAGCTCATGAATAAAGCGCTGCCGCTCTGGCTGCGTCCTGCCTGTACGTTCTGCCATTATAGAACAGTTATCTTAAAAACAGAACCAATCCAAACACTGTGTGTTTTCCTTTGTTAAGGAGGGAACTCCCTTTTTCTCAGAGGGAACTCAGGTGTTCAGATTCTGTGGGCTGGAAGCCCTGACTGTACGGACCGTTCAGGCCCGGGGGGTGGGCATTCTGGGAGCAGAGTCACGGCCAGTGGATCTGCAGCTGACCCTTCTGTGAGCCTCTCTCTCCAAGCAGTGACTTTTCTCAGGCATTTCTGCTCCGCGGAGAATTCTAACATGTTTTATTAGGTCTGACTCTCATCTGTCTTTAAGAATCGAGTTTCTTCACACAAGGATTCCAGCTCCTGGTGATCCTTCTGTGGTTTCAGAGACAGTAAATCTTAACAGGAGTAAACTGCTTCCTTATACTCCCGTGGAGCCGCCGGTGAATGGCAGCTACTGGCCTTTTACTTATCAGGGGAACATGTGATACTTTATGCCACAAGGGCTTGTCAGTGATTGACAATCTGCAATGTTATGGGGCTCAGCCTAATACATGCTTATGTCACAGTCACAAAATGACATCTTTTGCCTAGGGATAGTTTAATTTCTAGCGCGTTACTTTGTTGCCAGTGAATCTGGTTCTATGGTTTAGTATTTGTTGACGCTTTTTCTGATGCATAATGATTTTGTGTGTGTGTGTGTTTTAAATTTTATTAGTTTTAATGAACATTTACAGAGATTCTGGATTTCCATTCATTCATTGTTGCATTTTTCTCCCTGCCCACCCCTCCCCCCAGTTCGCTCTTCTCTTTGAAAAGTAAAAGAAAAATTTCTTCACTGGTATACAATCCCTCCACCAGTGTTGGGGTTTTTTTTTTTTTTTAGTTTTTTTTTTAATGCTTTCCAACCCATTCTTCAAAAACAGTCACTGTACCTTGCATTTCTTTGTCACATTTCAACTTTCTGTTATTACCAGTGGTATTATGTTGTTGTTAGGTGATGTTGTGTTGTCTCCCAGCCGTTGGGACGCATGCTTGGAAGAAGGACATCATACTTGGAAAGGAGAAGGGTCAGCGAAAGAGAGGAAGACCCTCAACCAGATGGATCGAGCCAGTGACTAATGGGCTTGAGGGTATTGGAAATTGTGAGGATGGCACAGGATAGACAGGGATAGGCTCTGTTGTTCATAGTGTCACTGTGGGTTGTACTTGATGGCACCTAACAACAATGGTGGGACCGTATGTACAACAGAATGAAACTTTGCCCTGTCTGTTGCCATCATAAGCCCATCGTAATGATACTCTGTCAATGCATCTTGTTAAGGGCTTCCTCTTTGTGACTGACCCTCGTCTTTTCCGTGCATGCTGTTCTTCTCCAAGAACTGGCCTCTCCTGATCAAACGATTACCATCCTTGCTTCCAAGGAACACTCTGGTTGCATTTCACATGAAACATTTATTTGTTCTTTGGGCAGAGCGTCATATGTTCGACATTATTTGGCAATATCACAAGTCAAAGGTATCCTTCTTTTAGGCTTCTTTATTCATTGTCTAGTTTTCACATCCGTACGAAGCAACTAACTCAAACATATCTTGGTCTTCAGAGTAGCATGGGTCAAACATATTTTGGTCTTTAAAATATCATACTTGCTCATTAACGCTTTAAAGAGGTCTGGATTTAATCAATGCAATAAGTAATTTGATCTTGACTGCTGCTTCTAGGAGTGTTGATTCTGATCCAGGAAAAAGGAAATTCTTGATAACTTCAATGAACACTAATGACCAGAGACCAGGTGAGCTGTGGAATGACATTAAAGAAATCATCTATGAAGAAAGCAGAAAGCTCTGAGAGGGCAGGAAAGAAAGAAGGCCGATGATATCAGAGAGACTAGAATGAAAAGAAGAAATGATGAAATAAGAGATGGATAGATGATTTCAAAGGGCAGCCTGAGCAGACAAAACAAAGTATAATAATCAAACGTACAAAGACCTAGAGTTAGAAAACAAAGAGGAAGAACAACTCAAATGAGAAGAACTGAAGGGGGGATGCCTTGAGACATAATACTGAAAGAGGCTGTGAAGAGCGACATCATTGCTGGTGTCAGACGGATTTGGGCTGAAAATAGAGGATACCCAGAAGATGCTCACTTGTGTTTTATTGACTATGCAAAGATTTTTCTATTGTGTGGATTGTGATAAGTTATGGATACTATTGTGAAGAATAAATGTTTTATAACACTTAACTGTGCTCATTTGGAATCTGTATATTAACCAAGAAACAATCATTCAGACAGAACCAGGAGATACTGCATGGTTTAAAATCAGGGAAGGTGTGTATCAGGCTTGTATCTTTTCACCAATACTTATTTGGTCTGTATATTGAGCAAATATAAGAAAATGGACTGTATGAAGAAGAATGTGGCATCAGGTTTGGAAGAAGACTCGTCAACAACTTGAGATTTGCATATTGCAGATATGCAAGCTTGCTTGCAGAAAATGAAACTTAAAGCACTTATTGACGAAGTTCAAAGACTATGCTTTTCAGTATGAATTACACCTCACCATAGAGAACATATAAATCCCATTGAATGAAGCAAAACCTATCATGGTAAAGAAAGAGAAGTTGGAAACTGTCAAGATTGTGACATGGAACATTTAGTAAATGTGCAAAATTTCCAGTTAGTCCTCACCTATTAATTATGAAGTTCATTACTTATGAACTCTGGTGACATAGAGTGGTACCCTATAGACTGCTAATTTGAAATCTGCCAGCTGGTTCATGGGGGAAGATGTTCAATCTTTTCCCATAAAGACTCATAGCCTTGCCGATCCAACAGAGGGCTGCTATGAGTCAACATGGACTCAGTGGGAATAGTTTCAGTTTATTAGTCACGGCCTTCATGGGGACACATTAAATCTAGATATTTGAAAATGTATCTGGAAGGAAAGACTCTTTAGATGAGAGTTTCTGAACTGTTGCACTGATGATATTTCAGAGCAGATCTTTTTTTGTTGGGGGCTGTTCTGTGCATGAAAGGGTGCTTGCAACATCCAAGACTTCTACCCACTAGCCATCATGATCACATTTCTATTGCAGTTTAGAGACCAATGGGCCGCAGACATTGACCAATATCCTTTGGAGGATCAAATGGTCCTTAACTGAAAACCATTGTTCTAGACTATGTTCTAGACATTGTTCTGGCCTAAGATAGTATCCTGGGAAAATGCAAAGAAATTCCTCCAGCACATTCACTAATTCCAGGCTGATCAGTTCGTTTACGGAGAGGAAAATTAAAAAAAAAAAAAACTTATAAAGAACCAGATTTGGAGATCTTTCAAAAGTGAGATAAGATAGTAGCAAAAAGCAGAGTCAGTTTTGTGACGTGTGTCCTGGAAGTAATGAATGGTACTAGAACTAGAGCTTGGCAGTGAAGCTGGTGAATCATGTGCATCTGTTTGTTTGCAGGTGGAGTTGGAGGTTTATGACTTCTTCTTTGAAAAGGGCGCTCCGATGACAGTCTATATCTCCATCAGAACAGCAGATACAAATGCCCCACGGGTTTCCTGGAACACAGGTGAAGCTTAGCATCAGGCAGCAAGCTAACCACTCTCAACAAAGCATCCCAGGGCATAATGCAGGAGGAAACACGAGAGAAGAGATGGGTTGGGAAGAAAGCGAGTTTTGTGGGTCATCTCCTGTGACAACCGAAAGCAGGATAATTTACGTGGTTTTCCGTGGACATTACATAGTTATGGTTGTGATTTTAACTTGGTTCTTCCACCCCCCCCCCAATCCTTGTGACAATATAAGGTGCACTAGTTGCCTGGTGGGTAAAGAGTTGCACTGCTAACACAAAGACAGGTGATTCAAATCCACTAGGTGCTTCAGGTGAGAAAGAAAAGACATGATTTCTGTGTTTTGGTGCCAACTGCTTTCCTCTGTGGGAGATGATCCTTTTCAATTGAATGAAGCAAAAAAAGTGACTATGTGACTTTGAGCTATAGTTGGCTAAGAGAGAAAAGGCTTCCAATTCACATTCAGGGATGGAAAGAAAAATGTGCACCCCTCTTATTTTTTAAAAAAAAATTGGTGAAATTACACAGAACAAAACATAGAGCCACAAGAAGTTGCACTGCAATCCCAGAGGTACGCAGTTTGAATCCACCAGATGCTCTGCTGGAGAAGGAGGGGCAATCTCCTCCTGTACCAGTCAGATCCAATTTGACGGTACACACAGAAAGAAATAATAAAATTCAAAAAAAAACAAACCACCCAAAAACAAAAACAACAAAACAAAACATAGAGCCATTTAACATTTGTCAAATTGATAGTTCATAGACAGTGGTTAACACATCACATTGTGTCACCAAGCTCATTGCCTCTGGCATACTGTTTCTCTCTTTATTAGATGGACTAAACTGTTGTTTAAAGACAAATTCATGGTCTAGTTTTAGTCCAAGGCTTAAAAGATCTTAAAAGCTTGGTCTAAGGCTTAAAAGTTCAATATTTCCTCTGGTCTCAGTAAATACCAGTAAGCAGTCAATAAGTTTGGTTTCCAATAGGAATTTTAAGGTCTTTTCCACATTTTCCCTTCTGTTTGGGTGAAGATCATCTGTTAAAACCTTGACCAAAACATTCAGTAAGGGTAGTTGAGCATCATTATTTCTTTTGATTTCTTGACAAATGAGGTGGTATAGTTCATGGGACCAGACAAACCTGCTCTGTAGTTCTCTGATTCCTCAGTCTTCTTCCCTGGTTGCTGTGATTACATAGAAATAATTTATTGCATCTTAGGCCATTGCACTATTTTAGGTTGAGTTGCATGGGAGTCATAATATAGAAATAGGTACTTGCTTCATTTATTGAGAGATATCTCTGTCTATCATCTATCTATCTATCTATCTATCTATCTATCTATCTATCTATCTATCTATCTATCTATCTGAAAGGCTTTGCTTTGTCAGTCCTTGTGCACTCATTCTGGAATGTATATGTTTAGATTCAATGCCAATGTGGAATGTAAATTATTTTTTCCTTTCTTGCCAGTGCCACCAATAACATACAAAACATACTTCTAAGCAGTTATATTCTGGGAAAATGTCCCAGTGTGCAGTTTAAATCTTCAAATTTCAGTTTAAATAAGGGTGTGTGTGTGTGTGTGTGTGTCTAAGTAGAAATGGTGGATACCTGTTAAGCAGCCTTGAGACGTAATTCTGGCTCTGTGTCTCATTTTACCTGTTTGAAGGTTGATGAGAGGACATAAAGAAGAACTTGGTTCTCTGAGGTTTAATATTGTTTGCAGTTATGTGTTGTTGAGTAGGAACTAATAGCTGATCCCGTGGCGGATTGTCAGAGGCTGTAAATCCTCCTGGAGGAGATTGCCAGCTGTGTTATTATTTGCCCTTCTCTAATACACAGTACACCTGGAGCCATCACATTGCAGAAAGTCTTAAAAGTGAGAATTTATCAGACTGGCATTAATATTACTAAAAATGAAAATGGAATTTCAGTTTTAAAAAAATATTTTGAAGGTATTAGATAATTGAATGAGTGAGAATTCATTTATTCTTTCTTAAAATAGGCCTGTTGGCATACCATATGACTTTCCAAATGTAATTCGGGTCTCTTTTGTAGGTCTGAATCTCCTAGAAGGTCAGTCTCGGGCCATTACTTGGGAACAATTTCAGGTTGTAGATAATGATGACATTGGTGCCGTCCGGCTGGTCGCCATTGATGGACTGCTCCATGGACGTCTTACACTAAGAGGTGGGTCATCAAACTCTTACTCCAGAAAAAACAGAAGTATTTTCTCCAAAAGTAAATAATATCTGACAGGATATACTTTGCATCTCGAGTCCTGTTTCTAAGTGAACGTGTCATGTCCAGAAAGTCTGGAGATCCTGACTTTTGAGTTAAGTCGCTGAAATTGATGGATAATCACTTAGAAACATTAACATGTCCTGGGTTTAAAATCTGGATCTCAGTTTTCCTTTCTGGATGCGGTGATGAGCACTTTCTAGATATGGTCCTTAACTAATTAGCTTTTCCAAATAAAAAAAAAATTCCCCTTTTACTTCTCTGCTTTGTAACATAGATTTTAAAATTAAAAAAACATTTCCATCTTTCAATATTTAATAATTTGATAATAATTACATTATTAGTTGTCTTTCTCTCTTTGTCATTCTTTGCTGTTTAGTTGGAACTGAACTTAAAGTTATCACTCCATTGGGTTTGTGAGACTGTGGATCACATGGGAAAAGACTGCCCATCTTTCTCCTGTGAAGTCACTGGTAAATTTGAATGGCCTGAGAGGCTCAGCCTTTTTTTTTTTTAATTTATTTTATTATCTTTTGTGTATTACCATCAAATCAGATTTGACAGGTACAGGAGGAAATTGTCCCTCCTTCTCCAGCAGAGCATCTGGTGGATTCGAACCATGTACCTTTGGGATTGCAGTACAGCTTCTTTCCACTAGGCCACCGCAGCTCCCCTGAGGCTCAGCCTTTGAGTCTGTGGTGTAACCCATGTGGACTGTATACCATCTTCCATTATTAGGGGCATGAGTGAGCTCTGGTGGTGAAGGGTGATACTCAGCTAACCCAAAGATATCACCTCTCTGACATTGGAATCCACCAGCAGCTCTGTGAGAGAAAAGTTGGACAGTATCTCCCCATGCATTTTACAGCCTCCCAAAACCCTGCTGAAGGGTCATCTACGAGTTGTTCTATTTTGACAGCAATGAGGTTTTTTGAGTTATTATAATTTTAAAGAAAGGAAATTAGAATTATAGAGCTCATAGTTAACAAGGTAGTAAAAATCGATCAGCCAGAAAACAATACCAAAACCCTCAAAACAATTGCTATCTGGTCTATTCTGACACATAGCAATCCTATAAGACAGAGTGGAACTGCCCCCGGGAGGTGTCCAAGCTGTAAAACGTCACAGAAGTCACAGAAGCCCACTGCCAGATCTGTTTCCCATGGAGCGAATGGAAGTTTCCAACTCCTAACCTTCTAGATAGCAGCTGACTACTTAATCACTGTACTTCCAGATTAGTTTTTAAAACAAAGTACTATCCTAATCAATTAATTTTAGTCATTTATTATAAAATAGTGCATTTCTCTTAAAGAACTTAGAGGATTTAATGAAATTATCCTCTTGGTTTACATGATTGTAAAGCCTAAAGTCAACTCTTTTTTTTTTTTTTAAATAATTTTTTTTA